AAAAAAAAAAAAAAAAGAAAGAAAGAAAAAGAAAAGAAAAACTCACTTGATAATAACCTTTATTTATTCCTTCAGCAGTCCTGGGGTTTGACCTCAAGGCTTCCCACTCTCACTTGGCTTTTTCACTCAAGAGTGATAAACTTCCACTTGAGTTACCGTTCTACTCTTGGATTTTTGGTGTTTAAATGGAGATAAGAGTCTCACATACCTTTCTCCCTGGGCTGTCTTCAAACTGGGACCTCAGAACTCGTCTCCTGTGTAGCTAGGATTATAGGTGTGACCACTAGTGCCTAGGCATAACCTCAGTGCTTTAATGGCAGCTTTCACAGGTTCATTAATTAGGACTGGGCAAAAAAAATTTTTTTCTTTTCTTTTTTTTTGGGTCGGGTCGTGGGGTCTAAACTCTGAGCTGGGCACTGTCCCTCAGCTATTCAGCTCAAGGCTAGCGCTCTAACACTTGAGCCACAGTGCCACTTTCGGCCTTTTTTTCTGCTTATGTAGTACTGAGAAATCGAACCCAGGACCTCATGCATGCGAGACAAGCACTCTACCACTGAGCCAACTTCCCAGACGCTGGGCAAAAATTTTTACCAGGGAATCTACATAAAGAAAACAAATTAGGCTGGGAATATGGCTTTAGTGGTAGAGTGCTTGCCTAGCATGCATGAAGCCCAGTACCACATACACAGAAAAAGCCATAAGAACTGTGGCTCAAGTGGTAGAGTGCTAGCTTTGAGCAAAAGAAGCTCGGACAGGGTCCAGAGCTCAGTGCCCTGAGCTGAAGGCCCAGGACTGGCAAAAAAAAAAAAAGAAAAGAAAAGGAAAGGAATTATACTATGAAAAAAAGTTAATCTTTCAACTTAACTTCTAGACTTGACACCAAGAATCAAGAAAAATGTATGGCTCAAAGACCCAATTAATTTTACAACTTCTCCAAAAGCTATTAATTTAAAAGCAATTTTACCCAAAGGAATTAAAAGTTTTATATTCTGGTATTCTTCTAACACATGAAACCAGGAATATGGAAAGGATACATACATACCCTAGCAAAGCGGCAACATCTTTCTCATACTCCCTAACCAGACTGGACAGTCCTGCCTAATACAGGACATGTGTGATTTACTTACTACCCACAACACCTAACAGTGCCTGGCATGAGTCAGTATAATCTGACACAAAACAGGGCAGGTTATGCTGCTTTCAGCAGAGAGCACCTTACCCTGTACATGCACCTGCTGCTCAAAATCCTTTATTCCAGAGAAGTTACTGTACTAGAGAGAGTAGGGATGCATATGCCAGGGCCTGTAGGTATGAGTGACATGACAATATGCAGTAAAATGATGCTACCTGTTCTGTTCTGACTACTTTGAACAGACTATTATTTTAAAATCTATTCTATTTTATAATTTAAGACCTTCATTTTCAACTTAGAGGATGGTAAGACAACATACTTTAAAATCAAAATAGGAAAGAGAGCCATATGCCAGTGGCTCACACCTGTAATCCTATCTACTCAGGATGCTGAGATCTGAGGATCATGGTTCAAAGCCAGTCCAGGCAGGAAAGATCGTGAGACTTTTATCTCCCATTAACCACCAGAAAACCGACAGCTCGTCTTGAGCTGAAGAGCTGAGGGACAGTGCCCAGACCCAGAGTTCAAGCACCATGACAGACAAAAAAAAAAAAAAAAAAGAAAGAAAGAAAAAGAAACAGATATGAGAAATAAACTGCCCTCTAGAGGACCTACAGTGTCTGAGAAACAATATTTAGCTCACACTCAGTGTTGGGTCATTATCCCTACCCTCTTAAACTCTTTTAAGGTGCTCACCATAATGTGCCAAAAAAGAAGCTGCAGAAATACAAATGCCAAATAAAGAACTTAATCTAATCCCTAATTTTATTTTTCTTGGACCAGACAGCAATGTTGCAATGTTCAAGCTGTAAAAAAATTAGTCAAATTTTAAACTTTTATTATAATGGTTAACAATTATAATATTTTGACCAAATACTTTACCATAAAAAAAGGAAATGATTAAGTAAAACAGCATTTGATTGTGATCTGAATAACAAGAACAAAAAATAGATGAGAGTAACTAGAATTCTGTGATTGATGTTAGAAAAAGTACTTAATCAGCCCAGAGATACAGCATGCACAGCACTAGAACCGTCACCACTCTCCTATAAGGCACCATGGCATCATCCACTAGATGGTGAGCTGCAAGGTATGTCTAGAGGCCAGGATCATCAACAGTTATGATAATGAGGATGAGGATGGTGGTGGCGGTCTGCAGTAAGAGCACACTGAGATTCACAGTGGCCACTAGCTAGAAACCACAGAGCTACGGAGAACATCCTCCCCACCGTGAAACACACACAGACACATTCTTCTAAAGAGGCAACGCTATGGCACCCAAGAAAAAGTGTTATGAAATATGTGCTCTGGGAATGAAGGAGCCAGGAAGTCCATGGTCTACAAACCTGTGAGTGTTGAGAATCTGTCAGGCCCCAGATCATCTTTGTCTTTTTCTTGTTTTTCTTTCTTTCTAAATGGTATAGGAGCTGGAAATTAAATAAAGTCAGTAGTGTGACATATAACATACTGCACTACTTGGAAGTTAACTGGTGTGCCAACATTTCTAAGCGAAGAGGTTGAAAAGTTCAAAAGCTAAGAAATCCCAAGTGTGGACTAATATTCATTCTTAAAAGAGCATTGAAGCTTTTCAAGAAGCTTTTAGAATAGTTTTGGAGTCACCTGCCATAGGAAGAATGATTTAGTGGAGATCCACTGAAACTATACAAAATCAATGCCTCTTGTCAAAGACAGAACATTCAAAATGCCTGCCTTGTTTGCTCCTCCCCACCAAGTAGGCTTGAGCATGGTGTGGAAGCAGCTCTCCTCAGCTCCTGAGTAGGGAGAGGCCTGTGAAAGAAATTCCTAGCTTTGAGGTGATCATTACTTAAAAAAAAAAAAAAGAGGCTTTTGCCAACTCAAATGATGCCACAGTTTTCACCAAATAAGCAAACAATTTTGTACCTTCCAAACTAGACACTAAAATGTAGGGTGTAAACATTTTCAATAAACATAGACGTAAGAGCTTAAATCTAGTCCAGCAGTGTAAAGGATGAACTTTCAATGTGACATTAACAACAGTATCTATTTTTCTGCAATAATACGACAAAAGTCCTGTCTACTTTAATGGCATTTAAACAAGTGACCGGTATGACTTCCATTTATGAAACCACTACCACTTCCTGCAAAAAAGAACATTTCTAAAGCCTAGCATTCTCCTACGTGAAATTATTTTCTATACTCTCAAACCAGCTAGAAACTTAGGCCCAGTATACCTCACAGAGTTGAGATACTGAAGTTCTCAATGACATTTGGGGCATTTTGTTTACTAAATAACACTCTTAAAATTTTACAAAATTACCTTTAGGCATGGCTGAAACAAAACGTTTTCTCCACCAAGGTCTGTTCCTGTCTGATTTCTCATCATCGCTATCTTTGCGTTCTTCAGTCTGTAGAAAAAGTTTGATGCTTTATTTGGAGTTGAGCAGCAGGATAAATTGCTATGAAAAGGATTTTGGTAGGTCTGTTAAATACAAAAACCATTTCTATTTACCTTAAAGCAAAACATTTTTTGTCTCAGTGCCTTATGTATGCAGGCAAGTGTTCAATCACTGAACTACATCTCCAGCCCACAAAAATTCTTATTGCTGTGTAAGTATCTTTTGAAACATGGTAATATATCTTTTAGGCAGCACTGTTATCTGTTTGAATGAGGCACTTTTTCACTGCTTACTACAGAGCCTGGCATACAGAAAGTACTCAAGAAATACCTATAGACAGGCTAGGGCTGGTTCTCAGCAACAGAATATGTGATTAGTTCTGGATTTGACACTCAGCCCAAAAAATCAATCCAAGGACTAGGAAGGTAGCTCAGTGGTAGAGTGCTTGCCTCGTATGCATGAGGCCCTTGGTTCGATTCCCTAGCACCACAAAAGCAAAAAGAAAAAAAGCCGGAAGTGGTGCTGTGGCTCAAGTGGTAGAGCGCTAGCCTTGAGCTGAAGAGTTGAGGGACAGTGCCCAGGCTCAGAGTTCAGGCCCCACGACCGGACCACCCCCCCCCCAAAAAAAATCAATCCAAACAAAATCAGCCAAACAAAAAATTCAACCCATCAAATCTAAGACACTTATTAAATACAATACAAATAAACTCTACAAGGGTAGTAAAGAGAGTAGCAACAGCAATAATAGTAAAACTGTGTATTACATGCTAAATGCTTGAGTGTAAGAATGCATATTATCTAATTTGATCCTCACAGAAGCCTTAGGAGAAGTCTGATTATTAAGTCCTTTAAAAGATAGGAAATATGAAGCTAAATGAAGTTATTTTCCCAAGATACACAGCTTATATCTGGTACAGCTGAAAGTCAAACTAGAACTGCCCAACTACTAAGTCTAGGTTTGATCACTGATTATATAGTTACCATTAACTCTGTCAAGTCACAAGACAGGACTTGTAATTCCTTTACTAGCCTATTATAAAACAGCAGACAAACTGCTTAACATCCATTTATTCACCTACAAAACTGTAATTAAAAATAGCTTCTTCAAGCTAGACACTAGTGCTCACACCTGTAAGCCTAGAGGCTGAGACATGGAGAATCCTTGTTCAAAGCCAGCCTAGACAGAAAAATCTGTGGGACTCCATCTAACAAAAAGTTGGGCTGGAGGCATGGCTCAAGTGGTAGAGTGCTAATATGAACAATCAAACCAAGTGAATGTGAAGTCCTGAGTTCTAGCCCTGATACCAGCAAAAAAAAAAAAAAAGCTTCTCCAAGTACAAGCATGTAAACAAAGAATCAAACCCCAAGCAGAGAAATGAGAGACAAGAACTGATTACTCATAAAGAAGTAAGCATGAGTAACAAGTTTCTCTTTGTCAGAGAAAAGACAAGAATGAAAAAAAAAAAAAAACCCAAGAACTAAAACCACTGTCATTTATCTGTGTGAGCTCATGGTTCTCTCTCTCTATATATATAAAGATAGAGCTCTAGGAGTGATGGTGTACTCTTGTAATTCCAGCACTCAGGAGGCAGAGGCAAAAGGATTTTAAGTATATGGAGCGTGCCTTCTCGCATATACGTGCGAGCATGTGCGCACACGCCTGCATACACACACACACACACACAATTCGTCACTAAAAGGAGCCAGGACCCCTTGCAGAAACTGCTGATTCCAGAACTAGAGTAGAGAATACAGGATATACTTGTAACACCTTGAGCCAGTAAGACAAGGAATGACAGAAGCACAACAAAGAACCCAAAGCCAGCTTGACAGATTGCTCACTGGCCAACTTGGGGATAATAAATGAGAGTAAGCAGCTCACTGACTAAAACAGAAAACCATATATAGAATTAATAAATAGGGAAATTAAAAAATTTGATGAAGAGGTTGGTTACATATTCTCCAAGCCCCTTTCCATGAAATACTAATTATGAAGAAAAAAGAGTAACTTTCCAGTGGTAAACCTGACAGGCCACAGTGTTAGGGCAAATTAAATTATGTGCCACCTGACAGAAATAGTGAAGAGAGCACAGTTATCTCGTCAGTGACAGGCCTGCTAGAGATGAACAACCTACGTCTACTCATGTGACAGCATCAAACAAATCCAAGTTGAGGGACATTAAAGAAAATGGACCTCGAGATCCTACAAGGTAAACAACAACAACAACAACAACAGCAACAAAACAGAGGGCTTGTTCTAGACTGGCAATTAAAAGTGGCATGTGATTTTGAGTGGAGTTTTTTTTTGCTGCCACATGAAGTATTTTTTTTTTTTTGGCCGGTCTTGGGGCCTGAACTCTGGGCCTGGGCACTGTCCCTCAGCTCTTCAGCTCAAGGCTAGCGCTCTACCACTTGAGCCACAGCGCCATTTCCGGCTTTTTCTTTTGCTTATGTGGTGCTGAGGAATCGAACCCAAGGCCTCAGGCATGCAAGGCAAGCGCTCTACCACTGAGCCACCTTCCCAGCCCTCACGGAGCATTTTTTTTTTTAAGGTGAATGGTCTTTTGTTTTTTTTTTGGGGGGGGGTCAAGTCGTGGGGCCTGAACTCTGGGCCTGGGCGCTATCCCTCAGCTCTTCAGCTCAAGGCCAGCGCTCTACCACTTGAGCCACAGCGCCACTTCGACTTTTTTCTTTTTGCTTATATGGTGCTGAGGAATCAAACCCAGGACCTCAGGCATGCAAGGCAAGCGCTCTACCACTGAGCCACCTTCCCAGCTCCTCATAGAGTATTTTTTATATAGGCAACTGGGGACACACCAATGGGGAGTGAGAACTAGATAGTATTAATGTATCAGTGTACATTTCCTCATGCTGCCAGATGTCAAAATGACATACAGGAGAATGTGATTGTTAAAAAATACACAAAAAATGTTGAGGGACCAAACATCAGACTGACAGCTCTACATGCAAAAAGTATTCCTTTATCATACCTTCAATCTTTTATGACTGTTTCAAAATAAATACTCCAGGCAATGGTGTCTCACTCCTCTAATCCTAGCTACTCAGGAGGCTGAGATCTGAGGATCATGGTTCAAAGCCAATCTTGGCAAAATATATATATCTTTAACTAGTGCCCAGGCCCAGAGTTTAAATCCCAGGACCAGCGAAAATAAATTACTCATGTAACTGGAACCCCTCTGTACAGCATCTTTACATTAAATAAAAATTTTAAAATAAATTAAAAAATATCTTTCCTAACCCTGTGATACTGTTAAGTTTTAATGAACTTAGGTACAAAAGTGCTTGGAAAAGAATTAAAAGTGCCATAAAAAGGTATGACAGTATTATCAAAACCGAAGCTGTAGAGGTTTCCTATGGGTTTTGGTGGTGGCATACTAGATAGACATATCATCTTCAATCAGAATTACAGTCCCTCCTTAATCCTGAATTTACATAGCGAATGTTCATTTCAGACATGAAGAAAACCTCATAGAAGGAACAGTGAACTGAACACAGTGAGCCAATTCTACATGGCTGTGACCCATACCTCTCCTCTGGAGGAGTCTTTACTCGGGGATGATGATGATGAGTGACATGCAGCCACCAAAGAAGTAGCACCAATGGCTGCGGCTGGAGGAAGTTCTCGCTCTTCATTTCCTGGACGTCGATTCCAGCTGGGATCACTCATGGGCCGTCGGACAGAAGAAACTATGTCAGAACTCCTGCTTCGAACTAGTCTCTCAGGGTAAGAGTGCCTTTGTCTGAATGCCTCCATTTCAGCGGGAGTTAACATGTGAGAACCAAAGTTGGGCAGCCTGGCCTCGTTTCCTCCCACTGCTCCTTCCAGGATTGGGGGATCTGGTGGTGGATGTGATGGCCTAGCATAGTGAACTTTCGGTCTTACCACAGCAGAAGCCCCTGTAACATGGAAAAGAAGCTTTGCAGCTAAGATACAACTAATCCAATAAAAGCATTAACAAAAGGCTTGTTTTCTTGTTTTTGTTTAAGAAAAAGTCCAACTGTTCACTTCACTAGCTTACCTTCATGAGAAGCAAGTGGATCAAACATGGCGAGCAGAGACTCTGACTGAGAAGGAGGAGATGTCAGCTGGTGGGCACCTAAAACAGGAGGCAAACTGTGAGAGCAGATGGAGACAAGACAACCAAGTGAAGGGGACACGACTATACAACAGTTTTCCTCTTTTTGACCAATAAGAATATGAAGAGCATGCCAATAAAAATAAAACTAATAAGTATCAAATTCTGATTACTTCAATTTTTTTTCTTTTCTTTTATTTGGTGCCAGTCCTGGTACTTGCACTCAGAGCCTGGGCACTGTCCCTGAGCTTTTTTGCTCAAGGCTAGTGCTTTACAATTTTTTTTTTTTTTGGTCGGTTGTGGGGCTTGAACTCTGGGCTTGGGCACTGTCCCTCAGCTCTTCAGCTCAAGGCAAGAGCTCTACCGCTTGAGCCACAGCGCTACTTGTGGTTTTCTAGTGGAGATAAAAGTCCCACGGACTTTTCTGCCAGGGCTGGCTTTGAACTGCGATCCTCAGATCTCAGCCTCCTGAGTAGCTGGGATTACAGGCATGAGCCATCTTGGCCCAGCTGTTTTACAATTTGAGCCATAGTTCTACTTCTGACTTTTTAGTGGTTATTTGGAGATAAGAGATTCACAGACTTTCTTGCTCTAACTGGCTTCAAACCATGTCATGATCTTCAGATATCAGTTTCCTGAGTAGCCAGGATTACAGGCATCAGCCACCGACACCCAGCTCAAATTAGTTTTAACATTTTTTTTTTTATAATTTTTTTTCCCCGGACATGGGGCCTGAACTCTGGGCCTGGGTGCTCTTCAGCTCAAGGCTAGTGCTCTACCACTTGAGCCACAGCACCACATCTGGCTTTTTCTGCTTATGTGGTGCTAAGGAATCGAATCCAGGGCCTCATTCATGCAAGGCAAGAACTCTACCACCGAGCCACCATCCCAGACTTTTTTGTAATTTCTTATTGTGATTAAGTAATTACATAAATTTCACAGTATTTTGAGACAGTGATAGTTAAAGTCACAAACATATTCTAATCTTCATGAGGCAAATTGTCATTATCGTGGTCTATAAAGTTTGTGAAACCTATGAGCATTGACAATATAACTATTTCTTCTACATCGGTTAACATGTACAGTTCTTTCCTTTTGTTTAGTGTAAGCTGTTCCCATTTTCCCTCTCATTCCCCCCCCTCCCATCACTGCCCTTGAGTTGCTTAGTTCGTTTTCATCAATGTCCAATGCAGCTGATGGGCCCCTCTGTTGTATGTTTTCCCCGTTTCCCTCTGCTTCTGTGTCCTCCTCCTAGCTTCCCTCAGAGATGGGCAAATATATATATACCATATATTACATTTGTTTTTACATACAGATTCTATTACATTTGGGCATCTAGCACCCACATGGCTAATGTCCAATGGCCAAATACAATTATGGTTCTTGCAGACAGCACATATCCGAAAGACCTAAACCATCATAGTTTATATGATTTTTCAGCCTCCCTCAGACTCACTTCCATCCCCCATTATAAATAGGGTAATACTATCTGCAGAAGAGCTATAAAGAACTGTATGACTTGAAATTCTAAGTTTTCAACAAATAATGTTTGAAAGACCCGTAAAAGAAATGAATACATTAGACCATAAAATAAACACTATCTTCTAAAGTATACTATTTTAAGCTATAAAGAAAAAAAATATTCTCCTGAGTAGATAGGCAAAACTAGAAACATTTCAACAGATACATATTCAGAGGCTAAAACTTTTGAATGTAAAAAAGAAACTGTTAATCTTTTTTTTTTTGTGGGGGGGTCCAGTTGTGAGGCCTGAACTCTGGGCCTCGGCGCTGTCCCTCAGCTCTTCAGCTCAAGGCTAGCGCTCTACCACTTGAGCCACAGCGCCACTTCCGGCTTTTTTCTTTTTGCTTATGTGGTGCTGAGGAATTGAAGCCAGGGCCTCAGGCATGCAAGGCAAGCACTCTATCACTGAGCCACCTTCCCAGCCCCGAAACTATTACTCTTTAAAGTATAAATTAATTCTTAATTAATATATTCATTGTGCCAGTACTGGGGCTTCAACTCAGGGCCTCTCGCTTGACCATTTTATTTATGACTGGTGTTCTACCAAATGAGCCAGGCCTCCAGTTTCAGATTTTTGCTGGTTAATTATAGATAAGTCTCATGGATTTGTCTACCCCCGCAGGCTTCAAACTGAAAATCTGATATCTCAGCTCTTGAGTAGCTAACAAGTGTGAGCCACTGGCACCTACCTGTTTATTTCTGTGTATGTGTGTTTTATTGGGCACTGAACTTAAGGTCTCAAGCTCTAATTGAGTCATGCCCTTAGTCCTTTAGCTTTTTTAATTCATTTGCAGTTTTCTCTCTATTTTGAGTGGGTTGGCCCTTCACTATGATTCTTCTATCTCTACTACCCAAGTTTCTGGGATTACAGATACTCACCGAGACTGACCCTGAAGCTGTGTTTTCTGATAATGAATGACAATGAATGACAGTGTGATTAAGCTTTTTGATAGTAAATATAGCTAAAAGCTGTATTTCTGGTCTCAAGATTTTGTTCTATTTTTTTTCTTTTAGTGATATTTGTGTTTTTAAGGGTTTCATGCTTGCTATGCAGACACTCTTACCTCTGATTTGCACTGCCAGTCCTGAACTTTTATTTATGATATAGGGTCTCATTTCTGCTCAGGTATAATGATCATCTATGTTAGGCTTTCCAGTAGAGCAAGGAAACATGCATGAACTACTGAGTGTAGCCCCTCATTGAGAAGGGGTCTCATGAACTTTTATTCCAGGCTGGGTTTGAACCTTAATCCCTATAATCTCAGCCTCCAAAGTGGCAAGAATTATAGGTTTGAGCCACTAGTGCTCATCAGGGACTCTCTTACACTCTTAGCTTTTGTTTATGCTGGTTCTAGCTATTGATATTTTTCGTATTAGAAATTAAAACTGAAAAGCTTGTTCACTTAAACTTACCAATTAAGTAGAAACTTTAAAATGAAAAGCATTATTTTCCAAAATAAAAAGCAAGGGGAGGAACACAAACGGGCAATGCCTTAGTACCTTCCATCATTTAAAATAATATTCATCGAGATGAAACAAAATAATGAGAAAAACCATACAGTTTACACACTTTTACAACTTTCTTCGATGTACTGTTTAATGGAGCACAGATGGAGTCTCTTATCTGCTTTCAGTTTTAACATATGTAGTATGTGGTTTTGGTTTCGGCATATGAAGAAAATCTGGCTTCACATAGATATGTAGCTAGAAAAGAGGATGGTATTTTCCCTTTGTTTATATTTTATTTTTTATAGTGTTGGGGAGCAAACTTAGAGCTTTGTACATGCTAGATAAGTGCTTTATCATTGAGTTATACTACTATATTCTGGGAAAATACATGAACAGTCTAAGAAAATTACAAATATTCTTCATTGTTACTCTAACCAACTCTTGACATGTCTTTCTTTTCCCCCATGCTTCAACCATTTAGTCCAAGTTAGACTTGAGCTCACTATATAATGCAGGCTGGTCTCAACTTTGTAACTACCCTCCTTCCTCCTCTAAACTGCTGGAATTACAGACATGCACCACACGTAGATGATAAGTAGTTTTTAAAAGCTAAACAGTGGAATCTGAAACTATGTAGAGAACTTTTTGCTTTCTAATACATTAATACTAGTCTGTCTTTATTTCTTAAGGAATCTTATTCTATTCTATAAGTTTATAATACATTGATAATTTAGAAAAAAAACAATGAGTTAAGATTTTTCCAAATATTTACACATCTATTATACATTATGGTTTTTAAAAAGAAACTATCACATTCTTAAGGCTGAGTGTGGTGGCTCAAGCCTGTACTCCTACCTACTAGAAGAGGTAGAGATTAGGGCATCATGAATTAAGGCCATCCTGAAGAAAAAACTCACAAGACTATCTTAACCAATGGCTGGGTATGGTGGCATGCAACTGTCATCCCAACTACATGGAAAGCACAAACAGTAGTCCAGGCTGTATAGCTAATCGTACCTCAAAATTAACAAATGCCTGTGCTGGGCTGGGGGCTTAGGGGTAGAGTGCTTGTCTAGCTGGAAGTGATGCTGTGGCTCAAGTGGTAGAGTGCTATTCTTAAACAAAAGCTCAGGGACAGTGCTTAGGCCCTGAGTCCAACCCCAAGGACTGACAAAAAAACAAAAAAAAAAACAAAAATAGCAAAAAAGACTGAGTGGCTAAAGCATAACACCTTTACTTCAAAACCTAACACATGGGGCTGGGAAGGTGGCTCAGTGGTAGAGCACTTGCCTTGTATGCGTGAGGCCCTGGGTTCGATTCCTCAGCACCACATAAGCAAAAAGAAAAAAGCCGAAAGTGGTACTGTGGCTCAAGTGGTAGAGTGCTAGCCTTGAGCTGAAGAGCTGAGGGACAGTGCCAGGCCCAGAGTTCAGGCCCCACAACCAGAACCCCCCCCCCCAAAAAAAACCTAACACACAAAAATTTTAAAAAGGGCTGGCAATGTGGCTTAGTGGTAGAGTGCTTGCTTAGCATGCATGAAGCCCTGGATTCAATTCCTTAGTACCACACAAACAGAAAAAGCTGGAAATTATGCCAATGCTCAAGTGGTAGAGTGCTAGCCTTGAGCAAAAGAAGCTTAGGGACAGTGCCCAGGTCCTGAGTTCAAGTCCCAGGACTGGCAAAAAAATAAAAAAGTTATTCTCATTTTTCTTTCTTACCATGAGTTAATCCCTACAAGTTAGACCATAAGGAGTGTATGTATGAGCAAAAATGTGATTTGATTTCTGTGATATTTTGCAATTGGATGCATCTCTAAAAGATGCTAAGTCTAGAATCTTGGTACAGTGCTGGTGCTCATATTGCATTAAGGAAAAGCTGGTATTTGTTCAAAATTTCCTAAAGGTAACTCAGATTACAGAAAAAAGTGGCCATTTTATTTTTTATTTATTTATTATTTTTTTGGGTCTGGTTGTGGGGCCTGAACTCTGGGCCCAGGAGTTGTCCCTCAGCTCTTCAGCTCAAGGCTAGCGCTCTACCACTTGAGCCACAGCGCCACTTCCGGCTTTTTTCTTTTTGCTTATATGATGCTGAGGAATCGAACCCAGGGCCTCAGGCATGCAAGGCAAGTGCTCTACCACTGAGCCACCTTCCCAGCCCCAAAAGTGGCCATTTTAAACCATAGGCCAAGAGGTAATGGGTGCTGCCTAGTGTTTCAATGGACACTTAAATGTAAATTAAAGTGACTTTGGGAAAAGGAATTAAAAATGGTACCTGGCTGGCTTCCTAAGAAAAAAATTTTTTTTAATTTTTATTTTTTTTGGTCCGATCTTGGGGCCTGAACTCTGGGCCTGGGCGCTGTCCCTCAGCTCTTCAGCTCAAGGCTAGCACTCTACCACTTGAGCCACAGCACCACTTTCGGCTTTTTTCTTTTTGCTCATGTGGTACTGAGGAATTGAACCCAGGGCCTCATGCATGCAAGGCAAGCACTCTACCACTGAGCCACCTTCCCAGCCCGAAAAAAAATTTTTTAAGTAAATGTTTGTTTCAAAGTGGAAAAAGATAAATTAGGATTTCCAAAATGATTGTTTAATTGCTATTCCAGTTTGCCCTTATAGGTTTGTTGTGTTTTTTTTTCCATTCGTGGGGCCTGAACTCTGGGCCTGGGCGCTGTCCCTCAGCTCTTCAGCTCAAGGCTAGCATTTTACCACTTGCTAGCACTTTACCACTTGTGCCACAGCACCACTTCCACTTTTCTGCTTATGTGGTGCTGAGGAATTGAACCCAGGGCCTCATGCATGCAAGGCAAACATTCTACCACTGAGCCACCTTCCCAGGCCCCCTTACAAATTTTGGTAAGCGTTTCCAGCAGGCCCACAGAAAAGAACAGAGGAGTCTTACAAGTTTGTCAGATGTAACTTTCGCCCTTAATAAGACCATGCTTATAAAACTAATTCCAATGACACAAAAAAAAAGCTATTCTCATTTTTCTTTCTTACCATGAGTTATTTCATCCATATCTGGACTAGTGACAGAATCTTTACCCCCAAAATCAGAGCTGCACTCAGATCTGAGGTCTTCAATCTTATTGGGAATATCCTCAGATGTTGCACTTATTCCTTTAAAAAAAAATTTAATAATGAGTAAAAAAGAAAAGAAGCACATTAGTCATACAAAAACTACATGAAGTTTAGATATAAAGTATATGGAATTTAAACACTGTCAAATTTTCCTTTCTTCCTTCCCTCCCTCTCCTCCTCCCTTTCTTTCTTTGGTGTGCCAGTCCTAGGACTTGACCTTGGGGCTTGGGAACTGTCCATGAGCTCTTCAGCTTAAGACTAGTACTCTACCACTTCAGCCACAGCTCCTCTTCTGGATTTTTGTCGTTAATTGGAAATAAGAGTTTCTCGGACTTTGCCTGCCCAGGCTGGCTTCAACTGTGATCCTCAGATCTCAGCCTCTTGAATAGCTAGGATTATGTGTGTGAGTCACCAGTACCAGCTTAACACCTCCAAATTTTATGTATCATTGTTCTGTACATATGAGGTGTTAAGTATTATACATCCTTTATTATACTGTTCAAATGTACTTACCTTACTTTTATATAACATAAGCAGAATTATCATGTATTACCTAAATACTGTAACACAGGCTACTAAGAATAAAGATATTGCCAATTACTTCAACAGGATGTAAAAGCCATATGTTAAGTTCTCAAAATAATTTTGTTCCCTGGAAAACCACTGGTTCTTAAAAAAAAATATCTCTTTGAAATCAAATTTATAAGTGAGGAGGAGGGGAACACCTTCAAATTCCTATTCCTTAAAACAAGACAGACATACCGGACACAACACTGAGGCCTGGTGTGCTGGGGCGGGAACTGACCTCCCTGACATCCGTATCATCAGATGTGCTGCCCAGTCCAGAACAACTCTCCAGCTCTTGTAGGCGCTCCTCTTGCTTTAAGTCTGGGGCCTCTAAACCAAAGACAGGAATCACTTAGTGATTCTGTTAGGTATACTACAACATATCAGGGTATGAATAAAACTAGTATAATTAAGTTTTCTAATCATAGACCAAACCTAGTTAACAAACCTAGTTAGATCAAGTGTCAAAGGAGTAAGGTATGTTTTCAGCTCAATGTAAGCTAGGTGACAATTGTTTCGAGATCATTAACCTTTGTTGGTTAATATGTAACTTAACAAAAAAGTACACAAAATTCAGAATAACTCAACTACTTCCTAAATTAGAGCTTCTACAGATACTCAATTGATGGTAGGCTAATCACCAGACAAGGGGATCATATCTGAATATGCTACATTCCAGAACGTACTTTTTCTTCTCTTGGTGGTACTGAGGTTGAATTTCAGGGCCTCAAACATAATAGTTATGTCCTTTACCATTTGAGTCATACTTCCAGCACATTTTGCTCTTCTTATTTTTGATATAGGGTCTTGCTTACACCTCAATCCTCCTACCTATGGCCTCCAGAGTAGCTGGGAGAATAGGGCTACAATACCATACCAGGCTTGTTTCTTTGAGATAAAACATTTTATTTATTCTTTTTTTTTTTCCAGTACTAGGGTTTAAACGCTGGTCCTATGCGTGTTAGTTAGGCAGGTGCCCTAAGGACTGAGCCCCGCTCCAGCCTGATTTTCTGCTGGTAATTTTTGTGATAGGATCTCACTTTCTGCTCAGGTACATGTTTGGCATGACTTATCGATGGTAGCTTCCTGGGAACTAGAATAACAGGCACATGCCACCTGGTCCAGAGAAATGAGGTCTTGACAACAGATCTCTACTTCCCAACTGCTGGTATTACAGATGCAAGCTATCATGTCCAATCTCTACTTTTTCTTTTTTTGTGCTGTCTGGGCCTGGGCACTGTTCCAGAGCTTTTGCTCAAGGCTAGAGCTCTATAACTTGAGCTATAGCTCTACTTCTGGCCTTTTTGGTGGTTAATTGGAGAGTAGAGTCTCATAAACTTTCCTGCCTGGGCTGGCTTTGAATCACAATCCTTAGATCTTAGCCTCCTGAGTAGGTAGGACTACAGGTGTGTGCCACTGGTGCCCTGCTTACTTAGCTTTTTTTTTTTGGTCGGTGGTGGGGCTTGAACTCTGGGCTTGGGTGCTGTTCCTCAGCTCTTCAGCTCAAGGCAAGCACTCTACCACTTGAGCCACAGTGCCACTTCCTGTTTTCTAGTGGTTTATTGGAGATAAGAGTCTTATGGTAAGCCGGGCGCTGGTGGCTCACGCCTGTAATCCTAGCTACTCAGGAGGCTGAGATCTGAGGATCGCGGTTCAAAGCCAGCAGGAGAGACCATCAGACTCCTATCTCCAATAAACCACCAGAAAAAACCGGAAGTGGCACTGTAGCTCAAGTGGTAGAGCGCTCGCCTTGAGCTGAAGAGCTGAGGGACAGCGCCCAGGCCCAGAGTTCAAGCCCCACGATCGACAAAAAAAAAAAAGAAAAAAAAAGAGTCTTATGGTAATACAGATGTCACCCCCTTTTGTAGCTTTGACAATTTGAATTAGATTTCAAATAAAATCTGAACAGAAAAGCAAAAAAAAAAGAGTCTTATGGACTTTCCTGCCCGGGCTTGCTTTGAACCGCAATCCTCAGATCTCAGCCTCCTGAGTAGCTAGGATTACAGGCATGAGCCACCGGCACCAGGCTACTTAGCTATTCTTAAACCAAATAAATCAGATAGAAAATAATTAAGATATGTAATTAATTATATTTGCATTCAGACAGTTGACATTTACTTGAAAGCAAAGATCTGTCTTCATGAGCAGAAAAAAAAAAAAAGAGTAGACATAAGAAAAAATTAAGTGCAGCTGGGAATGTGGCTTAGTGATAGAGTGCTTGCCTAACATGCATAAAGCCCTGGGTTTGATTCCTCAGTATCCCATAAACAGAAAAGGATGGAAGTGGCACTGTTGCTCAAGTGGTAGAGTATTAGCCTTAAGCAAAAGAAGCTCAGAGACAGTGCATAAGCCCTGAGTTCAAGCCCTGAAAGGTTAAAGTACTTGAGGCAGTGACCATTTGTTGCTCGTTTCAGAGCAGAGCAATACGTGGTGCTAAACCACCTGGTTGTATGCCTTTATAAGACCTGTAAATCCTTAGCTTGGGGCTCTCCTCCTGGGCTCCACTGTGTCAGAGTGTAGGACGGGCCCGAGCTGCAGCCCATTTAAGTAAAACAGCTGTAGAGTCTGACTCTCCGTGGTCTTCTTGGTGGGGGTCCTGCAACCTTGGCATAACATATTAGTGGGGGCTCATCCAGGATCCCCCCAAAGACCCCCAAGACCTCAGACTCCAAATGTAAAACAGCGCTGTCTTTGTTAATTTGTCTTGTCCTATTATTTGTCTGTTTCACTTTGATTTTCCCTTGTGAGGACAGCCGCTCCGATTCGTAAAGGGTTGTTGAAGAGGACACGCTTACACAACAACCCTGGAGGAACTGGGAGACATCCCATATCTTCTTGTGGGGCGGGGGTAACCCTGCTGTGTGAAGCGGGGGTCCTTGGAACCCTGCCGTGTGGGGTAGGGGTCCTGGGAACCCTGCCGTGTGAATTGTGGGGCGGGGGTCGGTTCGGTGTTGGACCGGAACTGACCACTGTGGGTCTGCTCCTTCTGCTGTGGGGCGTGGGTGTCCCGTTACAGGAGTCAACGGACCAATTCAGGAGATCTCCACTTTGTAAGCTTTTCTTCGTAACTGTCAGGCATGGGTGTGTTTTGTCTGTATCGTTTGTTTTTTGGATTGTATGACTGACGGGACTGGAAACCATGGGCACCACTCCATCTAGCCCCCTAGACTTACAAAAAGAAACTAAGAAAGAGGAAAAGAAATTGTACTCCCCAGTTTTTCAGGGAGATAACTTGGAAGAAGAAATGTTTCCTCCCCCATACTCCCCTTCCCAGGTTCCTTCTGCAGAGCCTGAGAATGATCAAGAGGAGGAGAGAGCTATAGAACCAGCAGCCGAACCTCGACACCTGCCCTTAAAGTGTCTGAGGGGCCATTACTCGATGATGCCGTGGGATCAGCCCCACTTCTAGTGCAGCTGTTTTTCCCTTACGCGCCGTAGGTCCTGTGGATGCGGATGGTCAACAGCAACTCCAATATTGGCCATTTTCTACCAGTGATCTATACAATTGGCACACCCAAAATGCCCCCTTTTCTGAGAAACCCCAGCATTTAATTCGTTTGCTTGAAACTATTCTCTTATCAGCCCACTTGGGATGATTGCAGTCAGCTTTTACAGGTCCTTTTTACCACCGAAGAGAGGGACCGTATCTGAGAGGTGGCCCGGAAACATATCCCTGGCCCCACAGGAACGCCCATCACAGATCCTGCCCTGATCGCTGCCTATTTTCCTGAGATCTGACCAACATGGGACTACAATACGGTTGAAGGTAGGGAGCGACTTCTCGTCTACTACCAGGCTCTGTTGGCAGGTCTCAAGGCGGCGGCTTGCTGACCTACTAATACAGCCAAAGTTTATGATGTTAGACAGGGAGGAAGTGAAAGTCCGGCAGCATATCTTGAGCGGCTCATGGATGCTTTTAGTCAATATACCCCATATGATCTTGAGACCCAGGAGTCGGCTCAGATGATTATGTTTGCCTATATAAATCAAGCTGCACCAGACATAAAGCGAAAGTTGCAGGCTCTAGACAGACTTGGTGAGAAGTCTATTAGGGATCTAGTAGCCATGGCAGAAAAGGTTTACAATAAGAGAAAGACAGAGAAGCAAAGACAGGAAAGGAAGGACAGAGAATGTGAAATTGAGCATGAAAAGAGAGACCGGGCCAAGGAAAAGAGGCCAGACTTGTTGGACTTGCCACTATTGCATGCCGAGCATACCTGGTTCACAGACGGCAGCAGTTTCATTCGAAATGGAAAAAAGGTACACGGGCGCAGCAGTCACCATGGACACTGGGATAGTGTGGGCAGAAGCACTCCCCCAGAGAACGTCTGCACAAAGAGCAGAACTAGTGGCACTAACAAAAGCCCTACAAATGGGAAAAGGGAAGAGACTAAACATTTACACGGACAGTCGGTATGCTTTTGCCACTGTGCATGTCCATGGAGCCATTTACCAAGAGAGAGGGCTGCTGACAGCTGAGGGAAAGACTATTAAAAACAAACAAGAAATTTTAAGCCTCATCCGGGCCATATGGGAACCAGCAAATATTGCCATTATGCACTGCCCTGGCCATCAAAAGGGAACTGATTCTATAACCAAAGGAAATAACTTGGCTGATCAGGCAGTTAAGGAGGCGGCCCTCCAGCCCAGAGCGGAAGTACTGACTCTAGTAGACCCAGGGCCATGAGCTTTGCCTCCTGAGCCTCAGTACTCCCAAGAAGACGTGAAGTGGATAAAGAAAATTCCCATAGCCTATAAACCCCAGGGCAGAGAAGGAATCAAAGACTGGTGGAAAACTGGTGAGGGGACACTTAATCTTGCCACAAAGATTGGGCAAGGGGACTTTTTTTTTTTTTTGGGTCGGTCGTGGGGCCTGAACTCTGGGCCTGGGTGCTGTCCCTCAGCTCTTCAGCTCAAGGCTAGCACTCTACCACTTGAGCCACAGTGCCACTTCTGGCTTTTTTCTTTTTGCTTATGTGGTGCTGAGGAATCGAACCCAGGGCCTCAGGCATTCAAGGCAAGCGCTCTACCACTGAGCCACCTTCCCAGCCCAAGGGAAGGGGATTCTTAAGAGAATCCATCGGGTCTCTCACATGGGAACCCGAAGAATGCAGGACTTGCTCCGACACTCAGAAGTAAAAATTAGGCAAGGAAATCAACTCATTGAGGACATTGTTAAAAATTGTAAAGCCTGTCAGCTCACCAATGCCCCCAATCAACCGGTTACAAAAGGAGCTTGCCTCCATGGAGATAGGCCAGGTGTGTATTGGGAAGTAGACTTCACAGAAATTAAAACTGGAAAATTTGGATATAAATATTTGCTAGTTTTTGTAGACACCTTTTCAGTATGGGTTGAAGCTTACCCAACAAAGCATGAGACTGCGCACGTCATATCTAAGAAGATCCTGGAAGAAATCCTACCCAGGTATGGCTTCCCATCCACCATCAGGTCAGACAATGGACCAGCCTTCGTCTCAAAAGTAAGTCAGGGAATAGACGCGGCACTGGGGATGGACTGGCACTGTGCTTATAGACCCCAGAGTTCAGGGCAGGTAGAAAGAATGAATCGGACTCTAAAAGAGACCTTAACTGAATTGGCCTTGGAGATTGGTGCAGACTAGGTATCGCTCCTTCTTTTGCCCTGTTTAGAGTAAGAAATTCACCCTATCAGCTTGGCTTTACTCCTTTTGAAATAATGTATGGACACCCTCCACCATTTTCCCTAGCCTTCAGACTGAATTGCTTGCTGATTTGGATGATAGTGAATTTCTGTGTAAGCTTGACTATTTACAGCTGGTACATAGAGTATGTGGCCCCAGCTTAGAGCATTATATGATTCTGCTTCTATTCCTACCCCCCATTTGTTTAAACTAGGGAACTGGGTGTTTGTTCAAAGGCACAACTTGAGATCTCTGGAACCACGGTGGAAGGGACCTTACATGGTGCTACTGGCTACACCCTGCCCTTAAGGCGGACGGCATTGCTGCTTGGATCCACTGTTCCACGCCAGACCAGCTGACCCCTTTGCCCTGGACGACCGTGGGGAAACATGGGAAGTTTCTAAGCATCCTACCCAAACACTCTGCATACGCCTCAAGAAAAGAAAAATGGACTAATTGTTATTGGTATACCCATTCAAGATCAAGAGCTGTTGGAGTTTAGTTTTGGGCCAGAGCGACAAGATTGTGGCTCAAGACCATAAGTCAAGGGGCGAATGAAAGGTTAAAGTACTTGAGGCAGTGATCATTGTTGCTTGTTTCAGAGCAGAGCAACACGTGGTGCTAAACCGCCTGGTTGTGTGCCCTTTTTTTTGGGGGGGTCTGGTCGTGGGGCCTGAACTCTGGGCCTGGGTGCTGTCCCTCAGCTCTTCAGCTCAAGGCTAGCACTCTACTACTTGAGCCACAGCGCCACTTCTGGCTTTTTTCTTTTTGCTTATGTGGTGCTGAGGAATCGAACCCAGAGCCTCATGCATGCAAGGCAAGCGCTCTACCACTGAGCCACCTTCCCAGCCCCTGGTTGTGTGCCTTTATAAGACCTGCAAATCCTTAGCTCGGGGCTCTCCTCCTGGGCTCCACTGTGTTGGAGTGTAGGATGAGGCCCAAGCTGCAGCCCTTTTAAATAAAACAGCTGTGGAGTCTGACTCTCGGTGGTTTTCTTAGTGGGGGTCCTGCGACCTTGGCATAACAGTCCCAGACCAAAAAAAACAAAAAAGCAGAAACATTTTACATACATATGTATACAAAAACACTACACATATAAATCCTCAGGACTACGGTCCAATTTCTTTTCTTCTCTCCTCCCCAACCCAAGTACTAGGGACTGAACTGAGGGCCTAGCAAGCTTTACTTTTAGTCCTTTGGTCTACCATGATTTGAGATAGGCTTGGCCTTGTACTTGTAAAATTCTCCACCTGTGGCAAAGTATCAAATTTCAATGCACTCCAAAAACATTAATTTTTTAGAGTTTTCATTAGAGATAAATCAAACCTCACTTGTTGGGAAGTCAACTACTCTGTGTCTAAGCAATGTTGTTACTCCTAGCTTTCCTATCTTGAGAAGAGTTGGTACTCAAAGACCCACTCTGGACGGAAATGAGTTCGAAAATATTGTTGCCACACTGAACTGTCAGAGAACATCTTCCATCCTAAGTTTTTGCCATCTAACACTAGTGTGTGTGTGTGTGTGTGTGTGTGTGTGTGTGTGTGTGTGTACAGATACTGAGGCTTGTACTCAGGACCTTTCTATCTGGCTTGGCATTTTTGTTCAAAGATACCAACTGAGCCACATCTCCATTTCCTGAAATTTTTTTAATGGCTAGAAAATGGTCCAATTTTCCATCTAATTCTTATCAATGTGATCATCTCACATTTGTCAAATGTATTTAAGCTAGATGTGGTTTGCACACCTATAAACCCAACAGTTGGGAGGATGAGGCAGGAGGAGGATGAATTTGAGGCTAGTCTGAGCTAAAGTGAAAACACATAGCTAATCCAAAAAATGGCACAGGTGCTAATGGCTCATGCCTACAAGGCTAGCTACTAAGAAGGCTGACACCTGAGGATCCAGGTTCAAAGCCAGCTGGGATAGAAAACGCTGTGAGAGCCAGGCGCTGGTGGCTCACGCCTGTAATCCTAGCTACTCAAGGAGGCTGAGATCTGAGGATCACAGTTCAAAGCCAGCCCGGGTAGGAGAGACAGTGAGACTCCTATCTCCAATAAACCACCAGAAAACCGGAAGTGGCACTGTAGCTCAAGTGGTAGAGCGCTCGCCTTGAGCTGAAGAGCTGAGGGACAGCGCCCAGGCCCAGAGTTCAAGCCCCAC